CAACTCTTCAACTTGTTCAAATGACGAATATGAGAAAAGCCAAGTGTTTCTGGTTGAAATGGGGAAGTAGGGCTGCAGCACACCTCCTCCCTGACTCCCCTTCTAATTAAGCCCCCAAGGGTGGTGGGATGGCCACGTCTTGGACTCTGGGATCTCAGCGGTCAGTGCCTGCCAGGCTGACCATCTGTGTTCTGAGAACAAAGGAGGCAGCAAGGCCTGCATGTTCTGGTTACAGCTCCTTGGGCACATTAAATGATCAGAAGAGAACAGGAGAGGACTTTCTGAATCTGATATTCAGAGACTATTCAGAGATTTTAGGCTGTGCAGTAGATGAATTTCGCAGCAATTGCAAGGCGGGGCAGGCAGCCCCTTTGTGTAAGAAGGAGGTTTCAGCCATTTTAGAAAAAAAAGAAATGAGGGCCCAGGAGAGAGGAAGCCCAGAAGGCTCACTTACCCTCTCCTAATCTAGAAAAAGGAAATTGCTGCCCCTGCCTTTCCAGGCCAGGGATCGAGGTCTTGAAGAGACCGCCCACAATCTTGCAGACACCTGGCTTCTAGGATTGGTTGGTTGCCGCGCCCCAGGGGAACCCTTGTCCCTCACCTCCCCGCTGTGCCACCTGGGCAGCTCTCTGGCCTTCGCTGCAAGCAGGTGTGCTCCAGAGGCTGCAGCCTGGGCCACCTGGCAGCTCCAGGTGCTGCGTATGTGCTGCCATGGAGACGGGCCCCAGTGTTGGTGGTGAGAAAGCAGTCTCCCAAAGCTTTGTGGATTCTGGAGAGGAAGAGACTAGAGCCTCAGGCCCTTCAGGGTAGTCTGCCCAACCACTCTAGTGCCAAGGAAGACCAGGTGGGTGCTTTGGGGATTTCCTGGGACAAAGGGAGGGAAGAGGAGCCAGGGGAGGCTGAATCTTGGAAGGAGGTTCTGAAAGGGCTGATCTGGGGAGCTGGGGAAGGGAACCTCTCCAAGCTTCCAGTCAAGGGGAAAAGCCTTCCCAGAGGCCCCCTTGCAAGACCCTGCACAAAGACTGGGCAAATGGGCTCTGAGGAATGGCCCTGCAGCCCAAGGGAAGGAAGGAGAGAGGGCCTGGCATCTGCCCCCAAAGGAGGTTAAGACAGGGGAATTCACGAAGCCCATCTCTGCTCTGAGGCAGCCAGGAAGGAAATGTTTGCTCGCTAGCATGAAGCACTGACTGTGGCTCCTTCCTCTCCCTGGAGTCCGAGAAGCCAAGGGCGATCACATGCAGCGCAAGGAGCATTTTTATCCATTTCTAAAGCCAGAGTGCATGCTCCTCCCTGGGAGCTTGATAATGGTGGGTGGCGCAGGCCTTCACCCAATAGAGAGGATGCTGCCGGAGCACCACACTTGCATCTACAGCTTAAGACTGAGTGATCTGGAACAATCGCTTCATCTTTTTGAACCTAGGTTTCTTCATCTGTGGAATGTGGGTGACAATACCTTCTAACAACCCACAGAACACAGCCTAGGGCCAAACAGAGGGACGGAGCTTAATGGGTGTCCCTCTGCTCCTTTTCCCTCTGCCAGGACATCTCCTGCCAGACCTTCCAGCATCTGGTCTGAGGATGGCCGAGCCACAGGGCCGGGAGCCTGAGTGCCCTGTCTGCTGGAACCCCTTCAACAACACGTTCCACACCCCCAAAGTGCTGGACTGCTGCCACTCCTTCTGCGTGGAATGCCTGGCCCACCTCAGCCTGGTGACTCCAGCTCGGCGCCGGTTGCTGTGTCCCCTCTGTCGCCAGCCCACTGTGCTGGCCTCTGGGCAGCCTGTCACTGACTTGCCCACAGATACTGCCATGCTCACCCTGCTCCGCCTGGAGCCCCACCATGTCATCCTGGAAGGCCACCAGCTCTGTCTCAAGGACCAGCCCAAGAGCCGCTATTTCCTGCGCCAGCCCCGGGTCTACACGCTGGACCTGGGCCCTGAGCCTGGGAGCCAGACTGGGCCCCCCCAGGACATGGCCCCCTCTGCCAGGCCTATGCCTGTTCCCATCCCCAGCCACTACTCTCTCAGGGAGTGTTTCCACAACCCTCAGTTCCGGATCTTTGCCTACCTGATGGCTGTCATCCTTAGTGTCTCTCTGTTGCTCATCTTCTCCATCTTTTGGACCAAGCAGTTCCTCTGGGGTATGGGATGAGAATCTGTTCCAAACAAAGAACCAAGCCCTTCTTGGCTGCTGCTGGGTATGGGGACTATAGAGCCTCATTTGGAGCTGTCTTCCTTTGTAGTATTGTTCATTCTCACAATCCAGGGGTGATCTAGGCTGTTCGTCTGCTTCTGGAAACAGAGAGAGTCTTACTGTAATGAAAACCTCTAACAGCTGAAGGACTGGGAAAAGATGAGAAGAGACCTCTGGGTGTGAACCACGGGCCATGGAAGGACAGAAAAGCAGACCTGTGATTACAGCGTTACGTAGCAAGTTGTGCCAAAGTGCTGGATAATGGTATCCAGAAACCTGACCAGCTCAAATAGCAAGTTACATTTCTTACTGGAGCTGCTTTGAACTTGGATCGCATTTTTTTTTTGAGTTGCTCTTTTTACTACTTGTTGCTAAAACATTTGGAACATGCACTTTCAATTGTGAGCAAATCTGTTTTGTCTTCCCGTTTTAGCTTTCTCTTTGGATCTCTTGCTTCCAGTCCCAGTAAAAATGATCTGCATTCATTAATTCATTCACTTACTCATTCAACAACCAGTTGACAGGTGCTCTGTCAGAACTAGGGGAAGAGGATAGGATTATCCAGGGGTGGCAGAGAGTCCTCCCACCAGCAAGGAGGGCCTGTTTACTCAGCTACTTCTTGTACAAGATGATCTCTTGTCAGCATGCGGTTTATGGGGTGTTAAGTGTATAGAAGTTTCAAGGTGAAAGAAGCCAGGGTCAGTGGGTCAAAAGAAACCTGGGATTTAGAGGAAAAGGTTTTGACTCCTCCGGATAGGTGCAGGGTACAGCCCTGACTCCCCCAACTCCAGCCATTGTAATCCTGGCCTCAAGAAAGATGGCAGAAAACTGGACAGAGTAAAAGCCTTCGCTCCCATCCCAGACCACGAAGGAAGTGGACCCGGGTTTTTATTCTGTATGACAGAATCTAGAACTGAGGAAAACTAGACAGAATTTGGATGCTTAGGCTGCTACTTGACTACAAGTTGCCACCTCTGCAGTGTCTAAAAATCCTGATTTCCGCCTCCCCACTTTAAATATTGCCTGGTAGATAAAGCTCAGGGCTCTGGAACAATCTCAAAACAGTTAAAACACCATCACAAAAAGATAACACTTTATGAGTGTTTTGGAATTTGTAGAATTAAGCTTTCAGAGGCCAGAAACTGAGTTGGTCTTATTTGCTCTGAAAAACAGTTTGAGTTTAATGAAACTAGCTTCTATAAATTCTTAGGGGTCTTAATATACAAGATAGTCCAAAATAGCCAAGACACATATTTCACATTTAGTAAAACCAGTCTTAAGCTCTGCTGTGAAGAAAAAATTCTCCATTATGAAATTAGAAAGCTACCCACACATCCCACTAGGGAACTAGCACCTACCTCTCCATTTGCACCGTCAAAGATAATTACACTAAAGCTGGGGCTCGACCTCTCCCCATTGATGTCCATTTCTTTACACATCCTTACTCCTTAACCTTGTGGCAGGTAAATTAGGCAATGATCTCACCATATTCTCAGAGCCATGAAGAACAGAGGAGCTGGGGGAAGCTCAGGAAGGAACACTTGCCTCTGTACTAGGGCCTACTGCTCAGAGTTAAGCAAGGTTCACTCCTATTTCATAGCTGAAACTGAGGCTCCCCAAGTTCAGCTACCTTGTTCAAGGTCACCCAGCTAGTACGTGCTGGAGGCCTTCCAGTCCAAGGAGAACTCAAACTCTTCAAGTGGCTGATTCACCAAAGACACAGCTTTGAGTATTCTTGGATAGGGAAGGATATACTTAACATTGTGGTACCTGGGGCATCTTCTGTTTTCACATTCAATAGTTCTAAACTTGGGGCATTGAGTTTCATCCTTCCAGAAGGCATTTAGAAATCTCTGGTACTCCAATGAAGGGATGGGTTGTGCTTCTGGCTTTCAGCACTCCAGAGGTCAGGGATGCTAAGACATGCTACAATGCTGAAGACAGTTCTACACAACAAAGTATCATCTGTCCCAAAATGCAAATAGTTTCCTGTTGAATAACACTATAGGCAACTTGTAAGTTCATGAGGTAGAAGTGGTGAAATTACTTTAACTCCCTTTGGCATGAAGTCACAATAAGATACAGTGACTCATTAAAAGGGCAGTATAAAAGGTAGAGTGGTTAGCTCAGGCTTTGTACAGGGAACAGGCCACGCTGGCTGGACTGGCCTTTTTGTGTGGCCAGTGTTGCCATCATACTCAATAAAGCCCCATGAAATCTCTTATAAGGTCACAGACAGACCAGGCTCCACAGCTCACTAATTAGGTAGCCTGGAGCAAGTTACTTAACTTCTTTGAGCTTCAGTTTTATCTGTTAAAAAAAAGAAAGAGAGAATAATAATTAACTCATAAGACTGTGAGGATTAAACGAGATGTCTCAACATGGCTGGCAGTGACTACGCAGAGAATTAAGTGCCCTGTTAAGTGACAGCGGTTGTATTTCTCTATGGTCATGAAATGCCACACTTGGTTTATGCTCCTCAGTTAACTGCTTTCTGACAATGTTTCCAGTGAATATATATATACACCACATTTGTCTTGCCAAAGGCTTAGATGAAAGGGTTTCACCTAGTTGCTACTCTTAAATCTCTTGGACCAGGGGAAAAAAAAAAAGTTTAATGGAATGAATGGTAAAATTTCAACTAGAAAACCTGAAAATCTTTAACATGTTTTTCAGATTGCATGCTAATACACTAATGTTCATTATTAGCTTATTCATATTACAAAAGTAGTAATGAAAAATAATTTCTTTTCATGGCTAACTATTGAGGAATAGAGCCTATTAATAAATAATACTGAAGTGCCCAAAGGAGGGCACAGCTGATAATCCAGAAGCTTACCAGGACACAGAACACACAACTGTTTAGTTATAACTGAAATCAGGTTAGACAGACTATTTAGCTACATACCACACACCAGCTTGCACAACAGCGGCAGACGTGTCACTCTCAGCTTCCCTGCAACAGTCAAGTGTTTTGCACGTTAAAGGAGAAGCCATCATAGAAGCCCTTCTTGAATTCTCTACACACAATACTTTCTTCTCCCAAATTCCTATATTTTTGTATCAATTTACTGCAAACTTACATAGTTCAGTGGTTGTATACCTGGGGTGTAAAGAGGTGAGGTGAAGGTAACTGCTACATGGCCAATAAGTAAGAATTAGAGTCCAGATCCAGTTCACTGGTAGTCTGGCCCAGTGACAATGCGACAGTCCTCTATTAAAAAAAAAAAAATCACTAACAGAATGCTTATTAAAGAATAAGCCATATTAGAGCTCATTTGTTATACCTCAAACTAAAAAAATGGGACCAATGGCTGGGATACAGAAAACACTTAACTACACAAAAAAATTATTTTAAGGACAGTTTTTATAATGGGATTTCACTCTGTAATAAGTGTGTAATGAAGAAGGAACATTTGTTTAGTAATACCCATTAGAGATTCCTTCCACAGTTACCATGATCTGAAGGTTACACTCTTTAAATACCCAATAGAAAAGAAGTTGCACAACAGAGACATGTTTGTTTTCTAAAAATTTCATTGAATCTTGACACAATTGTCTAGTTTTGGGGTAACACGAAGGATGCCAAACCTCAAAGCAAAATGGGAGAATTGTTTTGATAAGGCAAATGTTCAGCTCTGAGCTTCCTGATGCAGTTAGCATTCCAAGTGAACTCGACAGAAGAGGTAAAATCTCCTCTATGGCATAACCGTGAGCGGAGCTGTGCCTGCATCTTCACCTCCTGTTCTCGGGGCTCTTGCTCTGTCAGGCACTGTGAAGCCCTTGTGTGGTGAAATGTGCCTCTCAATTTGAGGGCTCCCAGACTGTAGTCCAGCCATCTTGCTCTGTGGTTCACATGTAGTCCTGAAGCATGTACCACATAATGGAAAGCCAAGTTTCAAGAATTAAAAATGGAGCGAGTCACAATCCTGAGTGCTGTGAGGGAGGAAATAGGGTATTCAAACAAAATACTAATAAAAATTATGTCTACGTAGTTCATGGCAGGGCTCGACGATGAAAATTAAAATTTCAACCATGAAAGGGATTCACCAACACCCAGGGACTGGGCTGCCTGCCTGGAGTTGGGGCTGACAGGGAAATCCAATTCTTTTGAGGATCTATACATGGTAATTGGCAAAAAACATGATAGAACAAAACACATCAATTCCTTTCTTTTGAAAATGGCTCTTAAGGGAGATGAGGTTAGAGAGTCCTTTTCCATGGTCCTGCCTATTCAGCCATCCAGAGCTTAAAGGTCCTGTCGTATGAGCAAGTGGCTATGAGCTGCCCATCAGAGGAAATGTCTAGGCCCATCACTTTGCCTTCATGGCCGGCCAGAGTCTTCAGTGGGGACCAGCCTGGGTGGGTCCAGATCTTGGCTGTATTATCATAGGCACCAGTGAGCAAGAAATTCCCATGGATAGCTACAAAAGAAAAGAAGGGGTGCTGCTTGAGGAATTCAAAAGAGCGTAAGAAAATAAAAGCCCAAAAATCTGCTAGAACATAAAAGAAGGTATTTCCACATTCAGAAAAACCCAACACTCCGATCTATGTTTCTACTAGGCCTCTAGGAAGACAAGGACAACTACAGGCAGACTTAGGGGAAGAAATAACATTATTAGGGTCTTTTGGTTCTTTCCCCAAAAGACAATCTATCCAGAAAAACATGAAGGATTAAGTGCTTGGAACGTCTATGGAAAAAAAAATGAAGCAAAACATTCACGGTAGTCTTCTTTACTTCCTAGAAACAAGAAGCATGCTGTGCCACGGCTCTGAAAGTGTGCCAGAGGGAAGGAAATTACAATTTGTTCCTTCAACAGAGTCCAAATTCTCTCCTGTTCCACTTCCTAGTTAAGCTAATGCCTGGCCTGCATTCCACGGAAGAGCAATCTGTCTGTCTGGCAATTAAGCCCACAATAGGAGGAAAGCTTACGCTCAAACTTGACACCAGTCACTAAGTTCTGATGGGCAGGGATGGTATAGATACAACGCCGCTGTCGAAGGTCCCACACTTTGCAAGTGTTGTCACCACTGCCAGTTGCAATGTGGTAGCTGTGGATCAGATGTAGTATCCAAGTTAGAAACAAAGAATACTTTCTAACCAACAACCCTCTCCACCCCTCATTCAATGAGCTTATTTTACCCATTGGGGGAGAAATTTATTCCATAGATTTCCTTCAGGTGGCCCTCTAGGAACATGATACAACGTCCTGTGCGTAGGTCCCAAACTCGACCAAATGCATCCAGTCCCCTGATAAAAGAATTTATGAATGAACATCTTTAATCCAGTTGTCTGTGGAAGCAGGCATATGTAAGAGGTGAGACTACTGAGCTGCCCCGGCTATGTGGAAAAAGCCTTACCCAGTGCCAGCCAAAGAGCCATCTTGATGGAAGGCAATGTCATACACACCCATGCTGTGGCCTTCCTGATGCAGGATCTCCTCTTGAGCCTCCAAATCCCATAAGCGCCATGAACGGTCATAGCTAAGAAGTCAAACTAACAATTAACCAGTAGATACCAGGGAGGGTACAGCTTAAAGTGGTAGAGCGCATGCTTAGCATGTAAGAGGTCCTGGGTTCAATCCCC